CGACACAGGAGACAGGTGCAATTGGCACTAACACAGGCAAAAAATAGAAAGAACCATTTGACTAAAAAATACATTGATTCAAGAACGTACACCAGCACCTTTTAACAGACCCTGTCACAGCGCATCTTCGATTATGTTGGATCACACCGTTGCGCGGACAGGGTCTGTTAAAAGGTGGCCCAGCAGCAGCAGCCTCCTTCCGCCACCTTTGCTTGCACCTTGCCAAGAGAGCAGAAGCTCTAACCTCGTACTCTTCGTGGACAGCAGCAGCGCCCCTGTTTCTCGGCGCAGAGAGGTCCTGATGAGAGAGGTCCTCAACTCCTCATGAGAGAGGTCCTCATGGGAGGACTCGCCATCTGAGAGGGCATGAAGGGATGCCCCCGGGCCCTCGCAAACACAGAGCCTATCCAGCCTGGCAGCATTACGTTCAGTGGCCGCTGCCGAGCGAGTCGACTGGGTCTGAACACTCCCAGTCGCCTCCCAATGCTGTTGTGGTCGCATGGAGAAGCCTCCATTAACGAATAGTGAGGACCTCTTGAATGAGGACCTCTTGTGACATGAGGACCTCTTCATCTGCGGGCGTCCCTCCTCGTCATCAGCGCCCCCCTTCCCCTCATCATGAGGTGCGGCTCGGCAGCTCACTCTGGGGAGAAGACGGCACTCACCGAGGCACTCACAGGCTCGGTACTCTGGCGCCGTGGTCTCGTTCGATGAAATTTAAGACGACGGCGGTAGTTGTAAGAAAGCAATGATGAATCTCATGTAATCTCAGAAGTAATTTGTGCGGCTCGTCCGGCTCGTCATCATTGAGGACCTCTTAACCTGCGGGCGTCACTCCTCGTCATTCGCCTCTGGGCCCCTTCTGGGCCCCTCTAGTCCTCAACGAGATGCGCCTCGCCCTCCCCAGAGTAGAGCTGCCTGTGCGTGTGAGGGGCCCGTGTGTGGGGTGTTATGAGCTGGTGTGAGCTTGAAGACCCAATATAAGTGCGGTTTCAGACACCTCAGGCCTGCTACTGATGGGCCTGGGCCAGGAGAGCGGCAGGGAAGGCGAGGCCGTGAGCTGAGAGGCTGGAGAGTCCGCGTGTGTGCGTGTCGCGGTGAGCTAAGTGCTCCAAGTGCTCCAAGTGCTGGCAAAAGAATTTCACGTGGAACATTTTGCAAGGTAAAATGGGTATGAGACCGACGGCCAACGTGCACACTGAGTCTGAGAAATTTATGTTCCTTCTCCTTCTATTTCGTGTTTAAATTCTATTTTGCATTGTTAGGTATAAATTGGGTAGTGGGCGCCATATCGAGACGAGGCTGTGTGGCCTCGCGAGCAGGGCCGTGCCTCTCTAACATGGGTGGGCCACCGGTGAGACCTAGCTTCCGGCAACAGCGCGATCCATGGCGCCTGTAGTGTGTGACCTCTGTGAGGACCTCTTGGGCTGAGGACCTCTGGCTAGTGGGCTGAGGACCTCTGGGCTGAGAAAGCTGCCTGTCAACAGGAGTGAAAAGAAAGAAAGAATTTTACAACAAAACTCCCTCGCACGACACTAGGCACGGGACTGGCGCGCACTGGCACTAACACAGGAAGAAAATGCACACACGCCAAAGTTACAAGACCGTTGGAGATCTTTTTGCACGCAGAGAGTCCTCTGCCAGAGCCCAAGAGGTCCTCACAGAGAGGTCCCCACAGACTGACAAGCGCCAAAGGATCGCGGCTGCGGCGCAACTTGCTGCTGCGGGAAGGATACGAGTCGTCTCCCCTATCCGTTAGAGAGGCAAGGGCACGAGACCACTCGAGCAGAGGTCAGCCGGGTGGTGGCCGCCCTCCCTCTCTCTGGGGTGGGCAAATACGAGCCGATTCATCAAGATAGATAGTTAGATTATAGATTTATGTAATATGTATAGAAAGTGATGTGCGGAACCTCGAGAGAGCTCTGATGAAGCATAGGCCTTCGTCCTCTCCTCTCTCCTCCCATTCCTCAGTTATGGCCGCGCAGCGACATAGTATCCACTTGTCTTCCCTGCATAGCTCCTTGATCGAAGCACCCAGACGTATGAAGTCAAGCTCGTCAAACACACACACACACCCTCCCCGTCTTTGTAGCCTGGCGTTTGTGCCCCGTTTGTGCCGCGTCCCGTGCCCCCGAGTTCATTTTATACACACCTGTCTGTGAACGGCGCCGTGTCAGCCTCGTACACGTCGCCGCGAGCAACGTGACATGGGCAAAAAGAAGCCCAGAGGGCGTGACGAGGGCTCCGCCTCGGCCCCTGCACCGGCCCGAGCGAACAGGCGCCCGCCCAGCCGCTACCGCATGGGCGGCAAGGTGCCGGGCGGCTTCCGCATCGGCGAGCGCGTCTACCTCACGGCGTTCGAGCAGTCATCCGACAAGGAGGAGACCCCTGACCGGTTCATGGTGACGGGCTGGGGCGAGGTCAGCGCCACCCTCGCCGCCAGCCACGCCGCCGTGTCGCGCCTGCGCGCCGCCGCCGATACGAAACCGCCGCGTCGCCGCCGGTCGCTCAGCCGCCGCAGCCCGCCGCCTTCTCCACACCGCTGTCAACGCCGCCGCCCGCAGGTCATCGGCGTCGCAAGCGCGGGCGAGTTCCTCGGCAAGGAGGGCGTGCGCGTGCGGCTGGATGGCGGGAGCGAGGTCAACTGCGGCGTCGCTTCGCTGAACCGCGAGGTCAACACACACTCACACGACACGAAACGCACACACCGACACACACTTCTCCGCCCTCCGACCCACGCCCACTCATGACACACCCTGCCCCCCCGCCCTGTGCCCGCCGCAAGCACGCACACACCCACGGCCCGAACTGACGCCCCCCCCCCCCCCCTCTCCGTCCTCACCGCCAGGGCCCGCCGCCTCGCTTCCCGGGCGGGTACGCACCACACACACACACTGCTCCCCCGGCATGCGGCTCTCCAGCCACTGCGGCGACGCACTGCTGTCAGTGTGCGCCGCCGTGAGCAGGTTCCTGTACGGCGAGCAGCTCTACTACACCGGCCCGAGCCTGGTGTGGCCGGACGGAGACACCCTCCCGCGGGGCGGGCTCGGGACTGTGGTTGGGCCGGTGTGCGCCGAGAGGCAGCCGAGATACAGCCGAGATACACAGTCGAGAGGCAGCCGAGATACAGCCGAGATACAGTCGAGATACAGCCGAGATACAGTCGGTGGCTCGGGACTGTGGTTGGGCCGGTGTGTGCGCCCCACAAGTGTAGCAGGCAAGCCTCACTTCCAAGACCATGCAGCGCCTCTCGGAATCCACGACCAAGCGACTGGCGACAGGAGACGTGGCTTCCTTCCGCACACTGGGACGGGGGGGACGGGGTGCACAAGACAGCACCACCATTGAGTTTGTGCCGTGACGGCCGCACACACTTGCTCTCTCTCCACTTGCGTGATGAAGCTAAGCGCGCCTCCCCGTCCGCCTGGCCCCCGCCACAGGCGCCCCTCCCCCGCGACAACCTCGGGCAAACGCGGGAGGGGGAGACGCCAAACGGCGCGGGAGGAGAGCGCCGAGATCGAGACGAGACGAGTCTCCCTGCCCTCTTTTCTCGTGCGTCTCGCCTCTCATTCTCACCACTCTGTCTCGCCACAGGCCTCTCAATGCAGTTCGAGGGCAACCGCGACCGGATCAGCTGCACCCTCGCGCGACTGAGTCGGCGAGATCGCACCGAGATCGCACCGGATCGCAGCGGGAGATCGCACCGAGATCGCACCGAGCGATCGCACCGAGCGATCCCGCGCGAGATCGCACCAGGAGATCGCACCGAGCGATCGCACCGACGCGACCCCCCCCCTCCCCCCACCCCCACCCACCCACCCACCCAGCACTACAGCACTACTGGTGGGCCGCCAGCCCGCACGGAGCGCAGAGGGGCCTCTCTCTCGCCCTCTCGCCGACGCCGCCCTCGATGGACGCGATCCTCATCCTCTTTGGGTGTGTGGGTGTGGGTGTGGTGTTGATACCTCTCCGCTGCCGTAGGTGGCACCCCGACCACCCCCCGATGGACGCGATCACCCGGCGGCGGCGCACGCCCCACTGTAAGAAGCTCTTGAAGGCGCGCGCTGTAGAGACGTGGCTAGACAACCCACCTCACCAGCCCGATCTTGGAATCAAGGTTGCCTACAACTCACATCACTCGTAGAGATGGGTGGAGAGGAGTCCCCGCCCTGCGGTCCCTGTGTGTGCTTGGGGCTTGGCTCATTGAAGAGGGCCATGCGTACTCGCTCTCTGAGCATGCAGTAGAGTCTCTGATTCGCGAGCCGACCATGCCGCATTCTCGTTCTCAAGGAGGGCATCAAGAACTACTGCGCGGCCGAGTTTTGGGACTCGCTTGCACAACAGAAGGAGAAAGGAGGGCCACACCCCCCTTCCCGCCTCTCGCTCCTTCCCCGTTCCCAGCCTGGTCTTCTTGACTGCGCGCCTCCTCGTTGTGACAGGCGAGGAGGAGTGGGGCGCCGGGTTTATGGCGTGGTTTTGCAGGTTCTACATCCCGAAGCTCGACGAGCCAAAGCTGCAGATCCCGGACGTGCGGGCGGCGGGCGGTTGGGGGCGGTGGTCCAGTCGAGCTGTTGAAGGAGCCTCCGAACGTTTGGTCCTCTCAGGTGCACGGCGAGGGGAACGGCAGGGGGCCCGGCGACCACAGCTCGCCGAACCCGGCAGACCAGTGCTTCGCTATGACTCTCCTTCCAATCACTGGCGATGGAGTGCTCCCACAGGCGACCAATTCACCATACTCGGCTTGCAGTGCTTCGCAGACTCCTTGCAATCACTGGCGATGGATCGCTCCTCCAGGCGACCAGTTCACCATGCGGTGGTTCCTCGACCACGCTGTCGTCGACGCCCTCCTGGATGACCCCCAGTCGCCGCTCGAGCGCGACGCCGCCATCTTCGACCTCAAGATGCTGCTCATGGCGAGGGGTAGCCGAGAGGCAGCCGGGAGAGGCAGCGGGGACACGCCCGCAGCTCAGATGCAAGGCGGGCCAAGGGGAGCCGGCCTGAGTACGAGAGGGCTGGAACACTCTCTCCCGCAACACAACCTCGGCCCAAGGTCACGCATGGACGGTCGAGAAGTATGCATAGAACGGACAGACAGCGACGGCAGTCAGTTTACAGCACCGAGTCCCAGGAATTCTTGTTCACACCTCTCTGCGCGCTGCTCCCTGTGACTAGGCGACCGCCCTGTTCCACGTGCACCGCTGGAGAGGGTCCGACCTTGGAAGTAAGGTCTTGCTGACTACCACTACCAGGCGACCGCCCTGTTCCACGTGCACCGCGCGTGGAGGACGACCCCCTACCACGGAGTTGGGGGCTGGCTCGGGGCATACACGACCATCGTCGCCGGGGAGGGGTGTGTGCCGCGGCTCTGGCGGGGGCCGCGGCCACAGCGGCGGTACACGTCCGCGACACGTCCGCGACATGCCCGGCGCACTAGGTCCCGGCTGGCGGGGGACGTGGCCACGCCGGGCTCCGGGGCGTACTACCGCCAGATCCTCGTGGGGAGCGTCGCCGCGTGGTTCGGCTGCTACCTCCTCCTCTACCTCATCGTCCGGTTCGTGGAGAGGGGCTCCATCGACTCGGCGAGCAGACTCCTCCCCTCCGCCCGAGATCGCGCCCGAGGTCACACGAGATCGCACGAGATCACCCGAGATCGCACGAGATCACCCAAGATCGGGCGAGATCGCACGAGATCACAACAGGCGCATACCGGCTTCACCGGCTGGCACCTCAAGCCCACCAAGACCGTCCTCCTCCTGCGGCTCAAGTCGCGGCGCCGCTCCGCACTGCCAAGCTAGAAGCAGCAGCAGCAGCAGCAGCAGCAGCAGCAGCAGCAGCAGCAGCAGCAGCAGCAGCAGCAGCAGCAGCAGCAGCAGCAGCAGCAGCAGCAGCAGCGGCAGCAGTAGTACAGCAGCAGCAGCAGCAGTGATAGCTCCGCCCTGCCAAGCACGAGCCTGTGTGCGAGCAAGGCGCCTCTTCACAGGCCGAGCTGTGAGCAGCGTAGCAGCAGCAGCAGCAGCAGCAGCAGCAGCAGCAGCAGCAGCAGCAGCAGCAGCAGCAGCAGCAACAGTAGTAGCCGTGATAGCAACCTCCCTCTTCCAAAGATCTGACCTCCTCCATCCACGCCCCAATGCGAGCAGGCGCCGCTCCGCGCTCCCTGGCGCCGCCGCTTTCCGAGTCACGACCAATCTGCCGCGAGACTCGGACGTGTTCACTGTCGACATCACGCCCGTGCGGGGGGCTAGATGCCAGCGGAGCTCAGACTCATCCTCCCATATCTCCCCATATCTCCGCCTAGCTCGGATAGACGCGGAGCATACGGAGGTCGTTGTCCTTCCGGCTGGCGCTCGAGAAGACACACGCACTGTGCACTCGGCTGTACTCTGTGGTCTCTGTCTGTAGCAGCGTCCCCCACCTTGTTCACGCGGTGCTCCGAGAGAGAGGAGCGCACGGCACGAGACCGCCCACCGGTGCATACACACCTCCCGCCCTGATGCTGGCCACACTGCAGGTGGGGCACGGGCCGTGGCCGCTCCGGCTGTGGCCGTTTCGATACGGGCGCGCGGCCCCACACATCCCCCCCCCACACCACACACACGCACACACACGCACACACCACAGCAGCCTCCCCCGCATCCTCCGCTCACACCCCCGCCGCTCTCCCCGCTCTGCCCCGGGGGAGGCTGTGTGTGCGTGTGAGTTTTCGACTCTCTAGAGTCCTCTCTAGGCTCAACTGGCTCAACCGCATCCTGGCGGTGTGTGTGGGGCGGTGGGCGGGGCGTGTGCAGTCGACACCCCGCGCCCCGGCCTGACCCGCTCCTCGGGCTCACTCCATCAGGTCTGGTGGTCGGGCGGGGTCGTCGTCACCCCTCCGGCAGGCCGCGTGGCGGGCACGTTCCTCCGGCACGTACCTGTGTACAGCGCTCTCTTCACACCTCAAGCTGTGTGAACAGGCCGCGTGGCGAGCACGTACCTCCGGCACGACCGCGGGGAGGCGGAGGAGGCGCTGGCGACCTTGCAGGCGGGCGGCGAGCCCGAGGGGAAGACGTGCCGATTCTCCGTCTCTGGCAACGACCTCTGCCAGGCCCCTCCCCCCCCTCCCCCCCGCC